TTGTTATTGCTGGGGCAGCCCCCCCACCCCGAGCCTGTAGCTGCTCGATGAGGGTCACGTTGCCAGCTACGAAGCAGCTGAGGAGGGGCTTTGAAAGCCCCACATCCTGCCCCACATCAACTATGGCTTGTGTTTGTAGCCAACCGACAAGCACGAGTGGAGGCAGGGGCCTGAGAGCAGCAAAGGCTTGTGCTGGGTGCAAGCAGCAAAGGCAGTTACTTCAGCTGCTCTTCTGGTGTTTTACTGTGGGATTTATCCAAGAGCATTTTTTGGGAGCAGTTCCTTGTAGTCCTGGTGTAACAAACAGGGAGAAAACTGTCAGCTTGGAGGTGGCTACCAATGGCCTCATCAAGCATCAGGTTTCCTCGCTTTGTAAGAGTATCCTTAGGACATGGTGTGGCCCAACTCACTTGGCACGGAAAGCTGCGTGGTTTCACTACTAGGGTGCCAGAGCTGGGGGAGTAAGAGAGCAGAGTAACGGATTCTCAAACCTCTTAGCTATAGGAACAACTCTACAGGGAACCTTGTGACTTTTGCCTTCATTACTTGAGTTTTTCTGCCCGAGGTGGCTCGCCGAACGCGGGTCATTTTAGTAGAAAATAACCTCAGGACTCGGATCCAGTCAGACTGGGCGGAAAGCTCCAGAGATGCGAGCGAGTCCGGCACGCAGCCCCGTGTGTGGGCGAGCTGCAGGCTGTGCTAGAAGTGGGTGAGGCAAGTGAGTTGCCCTTCCCTGCAGCGAGGAGAGGTTTTTGGACAGGAAAAAGATCTTCTCCCCTAGGTTAGAGTCTGTTGGTGCCCCAGAGGAGATGGCAGTTTCATCAGACTCTTGTTTCTGGTGGGACTTGTGCATTGTAGTTGGTTTTTTTTTTAAAAAGAAAAAGTTTGCAATTTCATGCCGATATCTTAAGGACACATTTTTTTCTTAGCTTAAGAAATCAATTTCCTTTTATTCTGTGAATCATTTTTCTAATGAAAAGCTTTGCTCCCTTCATACCACCTTTTTTTATCTGTTCCTAAGAAAACTTTCACAGAGCTGTCAGCCTGGGCAGGGCTGCACCTGCTTGTAGGGTCAGGCTGCCAAACTAACCAGAAGATCTGAGGCTGGACGAGATACGATCAGAGCTGTTGAAGTCATGTGGGATTTAGCATTGCTGCAGACACACCTCAGAAAACACGAGAGCAGCAGCGAAAGCAAGTCTTGAGGAAAGCTGTTGGAGTCACTCTTTCTTCTAGGGAAGCGCTTGGATCCTGCAGTGACGGGCACCGCGTCGGTGTGGAAGGTGGCTTGGGCTGCCCTGAGCCTTTGGCTTCCGTCTCTTCCTGACGAAATTGGCCAAAGGAAAGTGTCTTCATTGTTCCCGATTCGTGTTCTCCACGTGCCGGGCTTCACTCGAGAGTTTAACAATGGTTGCTCAGTGCCCTTCCCTCACAAATGACCGTTTGTTTCCCACACTCGAGCGCTGAGTGGGGACAAGGATTGATGGGCCCAGCCTAGCATGGGCGCTCGCTCAAGTGGCCCATTAGTGGTGAGCTGAGCTGGGCTTCTCTAATTTCTTCCCTTCGTTTTGTGCTCTGACGCTATTTAACATCATCATCATCTCTTTGAGAATTGAGTCTTAGCCCCGTGTCTGGGATAAGTTGTATTTCGACTCATCCTTGGGATTTCCACAGCCTTGCTTGTCAGACTCCTTTCTGAGTGGCTGCTGCCAAGACAGTTCACGTCCCTGGTGAATAAAAATGATTTTTATTTTTTCCTCCTCTCTGTCCTTGTAAGGCGTTGTTCATTTGCAAGGTAATGACGACCTGTGGCGACCCGTTCTTTCCTTAGATTCCCCTGCGGGGAGAGAGCTGGCGCTGGAACCAGCTGGGTGGGGAGCGGAGCGCGGCAGAGGGTGCTCTCGCTTGCCGGGCGCTGGCAGCCAGGGCGGGGAGAAGCCCAACCTACCAGGGGGTGAAGCAGCCGGCTCCGCGGGCCAGGAAGCGAGCTGTGGGGCGTGCTGCGCCGTGGCTGCTCGAGAAGGAGATCAAGAGATCAAGATGTTTGAAACGTTGAGGAGCCTCTAATAACAGAGTAACTCCGCAGGAGAAAAACTGAATTCGCCAGGACGGCCGGCAAGGAAGAGAGTATGATGCTGCTCCTCACACTCGCCACCTTTTGAGTTTCTGCAAAGTAAGTGGTGTTTGCTTTCTTGCATGGACGACTTGGCTGGCTGCAGCTGAACCAGGGGTTGAAAACTGCTTTTTAAAAAAAGCCTGGTCTGTATAGAACCTGCAGCGTTGGCAGATATGCTGTTGGAGGTAGCTGGGCTGGATGGGCAGGATTCCTACTCGTTAAGGCTGCAGTGAGGAAGCATCAGGCAGGTTAAACTTTCTCGGCTGCGAGAGGGGTTGCAGGCTGTGCGCTCTGCAAGCATCTGGGCTTCAAAAGGAAGAAAAAGTGCTTGAGCTTGGCAGTGCTGCTGGGGTCCCATGGCTTCAGTCTAGCCGTTGAGTGGGAGCCGATTCCTTTTTTGGTGAATGAAGTTCAGAGGGTGTAGGGTGTTGTTTTCTGAAACAGAAAAATTCACAGTTGACTCGTGGGGAGAGAGGCTGGAGGTTTTGCTTGCATTTTTGCTCGCTCAGTTTTTGCTGAGCTCGTGGCTGCAGGTGAGAAAAGTGTGGTCGTCTAAACCTGAAATTATGTAAAACTATGGAATGGATGACAAGAAAGCCACTGTAGTGGGCAGGTAGTGAGAAAATGTGTATCTCCTTAATATTCCCATCCTGCACTTTGGAATCGTACCTTCCCGTAACTGCGGCACTGAGCTCTCCACCGGTGTCCTGCTGCAGCTCAGCTCTGCAGAAAATCTCTGTAGCGGGTTCTCCACTTCTGCTTAGAAGCGCATTTCTCTGCCCAAGCGAGTGCGTTTCCAGCAATTGCGGAAGGGCGGGAGGAAAGAAAAAGGCTGAAATGATGTCGGCCCGAACTAAAGCCACAAGGTGCGAGGGAGCGGGTTGCTTACCTTAAGGTTTTAAAATTATGTTTTTCCCAAAGGCCCCTCCAGCATATGAGTAGCGATCGGAACCGTCGTTAGAAGCGTTCATCCAAGTTTGGAGGCGTTCGGGTCTGGTGTTTGGACATAAAGTTGGTCCTTTCTAACTGAAACACCTCCAGAGGAGCTTGACCATGAAATCCCTCCCTCCCGCTGCAGAAATGTGAGTGGAGCGGATGAAATTCTTGCTCCATGTTTGAAATAGTCTTAAAATTTACTAATTGCATCCCATGGTCTAAGGCAGATTCAGTGTTGTTGCCTACTTCTTACAGGGCTTTCACTTTTCATAATTTAAAAGAAGAAAAAAAAAAAAATCTACTTCTGCTTCTTGGGACTTTTTTTTTTTCAGTACAACTCCCCAGGGTCCCCAAGCTGGGTTTGCTGCAGCCGTGTTCGCAATCACTGATGGAAATCAGCTTGAGATGTTTGCCCTGGTTTCTCGCAAATACGCTTTTAGTAGTTTCATGACTTTGTTCTCGTCGCTCTGCGCTGAGCGCTGTGTGCGGTTTTTATCTGGGTAGCTGGATCAGAGGCCGGGCAAAATCGTCAGCAGCAGAACTTAATTTAACAGTAAATTTAATCTTATTTTCGCAAAGCTGAGAAGCTTGGAGTCACCAAAAGCTCCCGAATCCTGGAGTTAACAAACCAACTGCATTTATCGTGCCCGTGCTCAGGTATCACAAAAGGGATTATTCCCTGCTCAGCGGGCCCTGGGTGTGCGTCGCACGTACACGACGGCTCTTGCTGCTCTCACCTTCCAAGCTGGCGCGTTACGAAATGCCTTCTGCTGAGTCTCCTGCCCCAGAGAATAGCCCCGGGACTGGGAGATCAGTAACTTTATCGGCAGGAAATTTGAGCGTGCATTTTGGAAGGTCTGCCTGAGGCTTTGCCTTGCAAACCTGCTCTCTCCTACCTAAGCGGCTTCGGTCCTCTCAAATCTGTAACTGTGGGAGAACCGACGTGGTGTCCCAAGAAGCGGCTTCTCCTGGTGACTGCTGAGCCTGGAAAAGTGAGCACCGGGCACTTTTATAGGGCAGAAATCCAGGAGCCAACGCTGACCTCCTGCATGACAGAAAGAAGGTCGGAAGAATCTCTCTGTATGAATTTCAATTTAGGAAAACCTCTCCTTTCAATCTTAAAAATTTCGGGATGGAAAACCCACTCGCCGTGGGATAAGCTGCCCTGTGTGTGCCCGCCTCAGCGTGCTAAAAGCTCACGCTTCCATTCCACACCAGCCCCCAGCCGTCGTCCCTCGTTACAATTTTTTCTGCTAAACCTCGGCTCTGCCTTGAACGACTCGGTCGCTTCGGCAGCCTGAGATCCTGTCGCTCTAATGAGCTAAACAAGTTCAGCCAGGACTGTCTAAAGCAACTGCCCGTGTTGCAGGTAATTTGTATAATTAATGTATGCTCAGACAGAAAAGCAGTGTTGTCTAATTAAAAAGTCGTTGGAGAGGGAACAGTCTTCCCTTCCCAGCTCTGATCTAAGCCAGTCTGTCCAGCCCGGTTAGTCCTTAAACCCTCCCTGTCTCAATTTCCCCGTTGAAATAATTGCTCTCCGGGGGTTAAGGCTTCAGTCGGGGAAGTTTCCAGAGGCGTGAGAAGTTCTCAGATAAAAGTGGGCAGAGCCTTTGTCGGTTATCGGGGTGAAGATGTGGCGAAGCTGCTGCCGTGTGACACGG